TGCAGGGGAGGCTGGGAAGCGTGTCCTTGTCTTCCCAGCAACTGCAGAGCTCTGTAGAAGGGGAGCCCGAGACCGAGTGGACAGCTGGCCATCTCTGCCTAGTCCTTGGGCCTCTGCTCCGAGAACAGGCTGTCTCAACCACAGCTCTGTTGACATTTGGGGCCTGATCATTCTTCCTCGTCGGGGCTGCCCTGTGCATTGTAGGATGCTTGCTTAGCAGCATGCCTGGCCTCTGCCACTAGTTGTTAGTAGAAACCCCACAGCCGTGACAACCAGAAGTTGTCCAGGCATTGGAAAGTGCCCCCTTGAGGGCAAAAAACACTCCTAGTTGAGAACCATTGACCATAGAAGGGTTGATCATAACATAGACAAAATATTGCTAAAGTAGAGAATGGGGTGGGGAGCCTTCCTGGTCAAGGAGAGAAGAAATTGGAGGTGGGAGCCTTCTTCTCTGAAGGCCAAAAGGGGGCTCAGGACAGGTAGGCAAACTAGAGAGTGGGCCAGGCCACGCCTGGTTTGTCCATTGGAAGCTTCATCAAAACCACTTTTATAGTGACCTTGGCAATGGGGTGGCTGAGAAAGCTGCAACCCCCACGGTCCCAGTGTACTGCTGCTCATGAGAGTCCCCCGTCCTGAAGCTGGACTCTGTGCCAGGTAAGGGCTATGTGCCAGGCAGGGGCTGCTGGGCGGCCTTGAACCAAATGGGGAAAGAACAGAGCAGCGGTAGAAATCAGAATGCTTCAACCTCAGGGCTAGAAGACATCTTAGCAAACATCTGCTTTCACCCCTTACACAGATGAGGAAACTGAGGCCCAGCAAGGAGAAAGCTGCACGCTCCCTAGAGGCTGGGCCAAAGATCCATTCCAGAGCTTACCCCCTGCCCCAACCAGAGCCCTGTGTGGGTAGGACCCACAGCCCAGCTGCCCTTCCCCAACCACAATCACCCCCACACACTACACCAAAGGACAAGGGCCCCCGCAGGAGACTCCTAGAAGGGGACATGGTCACCATCCCTGTCCCATTTTGTGACATAAAGTATTTTAGCCTGGTTCTGGGCCCACCTCTTATCACTTCATTAGCTGGAGGTTAAAAGAGCTCTCCAGAAAAAATAAGAGACATCATTAAGGTGCCCAGGAACTGGGGGCAGGAGGGCCTGCTTTCCTCTCTCCCAGAGCCCTGTTGATGGTGTGAGTCTCAGCATGTGAAGCATGAAAACCAGGAAAGAGTGAAGAAAAAAACAACAACAACAAGCCAGCACACCCAGGGTGGGAGAGAGCCGGCCGGAGAAGCATTAGTGGGAATGTTTATTTGAGAGCCTGTTTAAAACTCTGTAACATTCACCTAATGGGAAAATTTGAAAAGAATTCAACTGGATTTGTCCTTGTTAAACTAACATTAAGGATGTTTAACAGCTGTCTCGGGCACATCACATTAAAATCCGGAGATAGACTTGACAAACTAATGGTTTTGTTTGTCATCGGGAGAATGGGCGGAGGGGGGACCGGCAGAGCCGGCGTGGGCAACGCTCCCAGCGCCATTTCACCCACATTTAATGGGGATCCCGGCTTCCTGCCTGGAGCCTGGGCCTGCTGAGGGGCTGCGTGAGGGGAACCCGGCAGAGGCATCGGGGCTGGGGACACGCGGCCCGTCTCTGTGCCCCGCAGCACAGCCTGACTGCTTTCACCCTCTGAGCAGCCCAGCTGGTCCCAGCCCTGCAGATCAGCTCCAGGGGGGTGGGAGCTGGTACCCAAAGAGGGGCCTGGAGGGAGGTGTGTCTATGTGACAGGTGACAGGTGACCTGTGGCCTTGGAGTCAACCTAAATAAATTTAGGATGAGGGTGAAGACACCAATTCTGGAAGGGTCCCGCTCATTTCTAAACTCACGACCGTCGCCCACCGGCTCACTGTCATTCACTCATTCATTCTGCGAACATTGAGGTGTCTGGACCCTCGTGATGCAGAGATCACCACATGCACACCTATCGATGCTGTGACATGGGAAAGGGCAGACTTTCACTGGGGCTCGTGGGAAAGACCCCTAGCCCAGCCTTCGGGTGGGGGCTGGGAAAACTTCATGTGGACGGTCTCAGCCTCCAGCTACGAATGGGCTGTATTTAGGTCTGATTGACAGCACCAGCGTCGTGTTGGGGGTTCTCTGAAAATGGATCGGGGCTGGAGTTAGGCAGTAAGGGGTCAGGAAGGTGGTCTGCAGGAGGGGCTCCGGGAGGCAGCTGTCTCTCTCCAGCTGGGGACAGGTGGAGACGAGGAGGTATGGTCAGGCCACGTGCCTCAGTTTCCCGTTCCCACTCCCTAGAGGCTCAGAGCCCCTTGGACCCTGGTCAGAAGAGTCCTTTTTCTCTTCCCAGAGCCATCACGCTGGAGAACACCCTTGTCATCCTGTCCACAGTGGCTCCCGACGCGGGCCGCTACTATGTGCAGGCTGTTAATGATAAGAACGGGGATAACAAGACCAGCCAGCCCATCACTCTTGCCGTGGAGAGTAAGTAAGCAGCAGGACCTGGGACCGATCACGGACTGGGTCATTAAATCTCGGGAATGGTGCTCCAGGGGGTCATTGAGAAGATGGAACGGTAGAGGGACGTGGAGGCTGGGGGCGGCAGGGGAGGAGCCCTCCCACAGCTGGGGTGGGCATGCCAGGGCAGAGACGAGGAGGGGCTGAGCTCTGGAGCCCTTTCCCATGACAAATCTGAGCTCCCGCATCAGGAGACAGGACCGTTAGCAGGGCCACTGAGGCCTGGGGAGGGGTGGAGCAGAGTGAGAAAGTGTGTGTGCATGTGTGGATGACAGCCGCCACCAGGGCTCAGGGACAACGGAGGGGAGCACACCAAGAGACAGAAGCTCGTTTTTAAAGAAATATACTAACTGCCTCTGCTCAGCTGCCACGTGAAAACACTGTTTCTGCTCAGAGCCAGGCGGTCCCCACTGATGGGAACACAGGCTCTCTGCCCAGGCCCCTGCCTAGAAGAGCCACTCTGCCCATCCTGGGAGAGAGAGGCCAAGCTCCCCCACACTGGCAGAGCACAGCGAGAAGCACGTGAAAGGACACTCCTCGAGTGTCCTTTATCCCACCGAGACTGAAGCCACACTACTGTGCAGTGCTGGATATGCTGGGGTGTCCTCCCTGACCTCCCTCCCTGCTCCAACCCCAGAGTAGAGAAGATGGGCTGGGGTGGCTGGGGTGGGAGCCCAGGCCCCCAGGCTAGGAATCCCAAACTACGTGGGGTGAGACCAGAGCTTCCTGCAGCAGCCGAGCGGTGACACAATCTGGGGGCACAGATGCTCCCGTCCCTCCACATCTGTACGGCTCCTGCTCCCACAGCAAGTCTCATTTATCATCTGTGGTCGCCCTGGTATGCACCCATCAGCAGCAAAATGCGGGTGCAGGAAAGCATGGGGCCTTCCCGTGCCCTTCCTCCAATCCCGGCCTCTCTCTGCCAGTGCCTGGAGAGCCCAGAACATTCCCAACCTCTGATCTCTCCATTCCTAGGCCTCCCAAGCTCCAGCAGGGCCCTTTCCCATTTTCCTAGTTACCTCCTTCATCCAACCCGGGTTCCCATCTACATAGAAAGAAATCTGGAGGCAGGGAGGAGAGCTCCATTCTGGATCCTGACCCATCAGGGTCACTGTGTAATCTCTGATGTTGATCTGGGCCAGGGTCTCAGTCAAGTCCCAGCAGCCTGGGCCCCAGATATGGCCAGGGGGTGCTGTTTCTGTAGGTAAAAGGAATTCAGTCATCAGAGGGAGATGCTTTTCCCCATGTATTTTCTAGTGATCAGGCTACCTGGAATCTTGTGGAATCTGGCCATTTGGTAAGAGGCAATGTTGGAGATATTGGAGTGGTTTAGAGTCAAAGCAAGGCATCTTCCTGGGTGACTCAGTTTCCCCTGAGACCCGAGGTGAGGGAGCCTTCTCTCTGTGTTCCTCCTCCAGCATTCAGCTCTTTCTTGCAGTAGTTGAACCCAGCTGCTCTCCTGGTGACCATGGGGTTGTTCACTCTCTGGTCCATCTCAAACCACCCCCCCTCACCCCACAACCCTCCTGATCCCCTCTGCCCCTCGGCTCCTGCTTTCATATAGTGATTGATTTGTACTGGATCCAGAGCAGAATCAGCTGGTTTTAGCTAATTTCTCCTCCCCCGAGTGTCTGCGCTTCAAAACCCTGCTCCTCCCACTGACACAAATCCAGCCCGCCTGTCTGCCAGCCACTTTATGAGGAGCAGTTGCCACTTTGTCTACCACCAGCTCCAGGTCCCCTCACCCAGGCCTCACCCCTCCCTCCGTCACCTCTCCCTCCCCACCCCTCTCTCCACCTGTCTTCTGCGCAGGGCAGTCTGGCTCCTCAGCAGCCCTCACGGGGAGCCCATGCTCTCTGGACATGGAGAAGGAAAGAGCAAGGCCAGTGACCCCAGGAGCTGCCCCCTGCCCACGGTAACCCTCACACGGATTGTCACAGCTCCTGAAAACTCCATGCCTGGGTCGAGGCTCCCCACCTGGGCATGAGAGCTGCACCGTCCCATGGAAATATAACGTGAGCCACACGAGTAATCTCAAATTTTCCAGTAGCCCCATTCTTTATAAAATAGAAAGAAATAGGTAACATTAATTTTGTTCATGTATTTTATTTAACCCAATATGTCCAAAATACTATCCTTTTAACATACAATCATGTACAAAATATTAATGAGATATATTACATCGGTTTGGGGGGTACTAAGTCTTTGAAATCCGTGATTATTTTACACTTACAGCACATCTCAATTTGGATGCTAAATTTCATCTAAAGTATTTGATCTGTATTTAGACTTAATAGAATTCACATCTGAAAAGGACGAGTTGTATGCCCGAGGTATTCCACAGGTACTTAACAGTGCTCTAATGACTGAACTGGGGATCCATTTTTAATTAAATGTAAATTAGTTAAAATTAAATCACATTGAATCAATGGGGCACCAGCCACTTTTCAAGAACTCGATAGACACATGTGGCCCTTGGCCCCGTGTTGGATGGCACAGGTCACAAGGCCTGGATACCCTGGGCTCCTGGTGGCTGGAGGACAGGAATCTGGAAGCCTGCCCAGGAGACGGGGGTGGCTAACATCGCTGCCCCACCTGGTGTGTCCTGTGATCCCTGAGCCTCAGTTTCCTCATCTGTAAAGTGATGCCTGTGGCAAGGCTAGGAGGATTACATGAGGTGACTCAGGGAGAACGGACCACAGTAGATGTCTTGTTATGGCTGTTATGAAATTGCACCTGGGGCAGTGGGATCCAGCTTGGGCCCTGTGTGGGGAGCCCCCTATGCGTCTTCCTACCCCAGGCCCCATCCATGTCAGTAGCTCACGTGGAAGACACCCCTCTTCCTAGTTTGGGCTTGCCTGTGATTTTCGTGGCTTGACCTCTGGGGCCCTGTTCCCTCCAATGTCCCACATGGGCTGGAGCAACCTTCATCTGCAAAGATCTGCTCCAGGACCACCCTGTGCTGACTTCATGGTCCCAGCCATGACAGAGTGGCTGAGCCACCTCCAACTACGTGACCTTGTCCCAGGCCCCAGATCTTGGCATCAGCTCATGGC